TGATTGTTGATCCCCATTCCCATCATACATGCTGTCCTGAAATGGAAGGTAACGTGGAGGATTCGTTGTTGTCATTGTTGTGAGCTCAACTGCAGTTTGGAGAGAATAAAGGTGTTCAAAAGAGTTATTGTTGTTGATGATTTCTTTTTTGGGACAGCAGTGGAGTTACAGTGATATTAATATAATATAATATAATATAATATAATATGAGAAAGTGCTTTGGGATAGAACACACACTGGCAACTAATGCAAATATGTCTTTGAGGAGATTCTGCTCTCACAGTCGGTGACTCGACTGTGAGAGCAGAATCTCATTTCATAAGCCTGCTTAGACATACTGGTAATATGTCTCTCCAGCTTTTTACAGGAAGCAGTTGAACAGGTTTGGACTTGCTGGATGAGTATACTGCATGCCAGTAGGGTTGAGCACACTCCCCACCCCCAACTTTACCACTACAGCACCACAACCACAAAATTCAAATTCAGGAGTCTAGCGCTCCATCTAAACAAAGGGCTCTTATACAGATACAGAGGTGTCCTCCTACCATAAATCAGTAAGAGAAGATATAACCTCTTTCATGACCTTAAGGTGTGTGTGTATGCCAGAGTGCTCTGGAAGGCACACAGAGTCTCCACAGACTACTACGGATCAAACCTCCATTATTATGCAATCGATTATAAAACTCAAAGCATATATGAGTAAATATCTCTAAGCATAAATGACAATCAACAATATAAACCTTACACTCACTTTCACGTATCAGTCAGTGCAAGTCCACTCAGTCTTTATGTGCAATCTGGATTCGAGTGGAGTTAACAGCCAAAGGAGACTCAGCAGCGGAAATGTGGGTGGGAAACAAAGTTTTGCATTTGCATTCAATGCAAATTATCTGGTGAGTATGCTGTGACACAACCTTTGTGTTAGTGTCTTAACAACATACATACATAATAAATATGTAGATACACACACACACACACACACACACATCGTTCAAGACCCCAGTTCAGACCGCAGCCTGTGCAAAGACGCCCCTGAGACAACCTAGAATCTAGACAATGTAAAAACAGTTTGACGAAAGACAGTTTAAGAAAAAGTAAGATAACACCACTACACACACACAAAGAAATACATTTTAAATTGTTTTCTTACTTTGAAGTTCATTCTGCTTCTCCTCAAACTCTACTAAAACAGACTCACCTTTACTTTCACTTGTCGATGGGGGCTCAGCAGTGGCACTGCATGTGGGTGTTTTTAACAAAATAACAGCTATCACTTCAGGCAGCCTGTAACGCCCACATTAAAAAAAAAAAAAAAAAAAAAAAAAAACAGGTTAGATATATGCGGGCCTTCCTGTAAGCCAGTCACTATGCTTGTTCCAGACAGGCATGTATTGGCATCATTACAGATTATCTTAGGGGTATGAAGGAGCGTAAAAAGAGGAGCATGCCCAAATGTTTTTCTGATTGATATATATATATATATATATATATATATATATATATATATATATATATATATATATATATATATACATATATATACATATATATATATAATGTATACATACATATACATGTGTGTGTGAAATAAACTGCAATAGAGCAAAATATGGGTGTGTGTGGTTGGAGGATGTGTTTGTGCGTGTGCCCACGGGGGGGGGCATGAACATTTTTCTTGTAAAACAAAGGGGGGCCCAGCAAAAAAACCACTGTGGGAGCCACTGTGTTAAACAAATATGTAAGACTCCTTTCTTCCATTTGCACAACATCTCTAAAGTTAGAAATATCCTGTCTCAGAGTGACGCTGAAAAACTAGTTCATGCATTTATTACTTCCAGGCTGGACTACTGCAATTCATTATTATCAGGATGTCCAAAAAACTCCCTGAAAAGCCTTCAGCTAATCCAAAATGCTGCAGCAGACTAGAAGGAGAGAGCATATTTCTCCTGTTTTGGCTTCCCTTCATTGGCTTCCTGTTAAGTCCAGAATTGAATTCAAAATCCTGCTCCTCACATACAAGGTCTTAAATAATCAGGCCCCATCTTATCTTAATGACCTTGTAGTACCATATCACCCTATTAGAGCACTTCGCTCTCGCTCTGCAGGCCTACTTGTTGTTCCTAGAGTATTTAAAAGTAGAATAGGAGGGAGAGCCTTCAGTTTTCAGGCCCCTCTTCTGTGGAACAAGCTTCCAGTTTGGATTCGGGAGACAGACACTATCTCTACTTTTAAGATTAGGCTTAAAACTTTCCTTTTTGCTAAAGCATATAGTCAGGGCTGGACCAGGTGACCCTGAATCCTCCCTTAGTTATGCTGCAGTAGACGTAGGCTGCCGGGGATTCCCATGATGCATTGAGTTTTTCCTTTCCAGTCACCTTTCGCACTCACTATGTGTTAATAGACCTCTCTGCATTGAATCATATCTGTTATTAATCTCTGTCTCTCTTCCACAGCATGTCTTTTATCCTGTCTTCCTTCTCTCACCCCAACCGGTCGCAGCAGATGGCCGCCCCTCCCTGAGCCTGGTTCTGCCGGAGGTTTCTTCCTGTTAAAAGGGAGTTTTTCCTTCCCACTGTCGCCAAAGTGCTTGCTCATAGAGGTTATATGATTGTTGAGTTTTTCTCTGTATCTATGAAGCGCCTTGAGGCGACTTTTGTTGTGATTTGGCGCTATATAAATAAAATTGAATTGAATTGATTTTTGTGTTTGGCAACGTTCTCCACCTCAGCACTAGCTTCACAGCTCCAACTGACATCTGCAGAGTATTTAGAGCATGAGGTTTGTGGCATTTGTAACAATGGAAACTGAACATGAGAAGGGTTCTGGGTTGGTTCCAGTTTGCATGCTTTTCTAAGGAAGCTCTGGTGCATTCATGCACATTCCAGGTGTACTGTGCGCAGTAAAAATGACTCAACATCAAAATACCTGCCAAGTTAAACCTGCGAAAGCCTCAGCCTAGGACACTCTCAAACTTTATAGCTCTCGGCCACATGCCTCTAAAGCAGGGGTGTCAAACTCAAATACACAGTGGGCCAAAATTCAAAACTGGAACAAAGTCGCGGGCTAACATTAATATTTATTGAAAAAAAAATATTCCTCCAGATATAAGAATGAATCTTTTCTTATGGACTCAAACAAGTTTTGCTGAAAAACTGAATATGGAACAAGCAAAGCTTAATACTAAACAATATATATATTAGCTGTATAATACCAGTAGGCCAGCTCTAATAGTAATTTGGCATGGCTTCGGGCCAAATTTGGCCCGCGGGCCAGAGTTTGACACCTATGCTCTAAAGCCTGTTAAATTATCATTACCCATGTGACATGAAATCATCTGAGTTGCTGTAATAAGTGACATATGGAGACACTCTGACCTGGGACTCTACAAACTGAAGCTGGGTCTCTCCAAAGTGAAGCTGTTAGGATATTAGTTTGGAGTTACACTTCGTGTTTTCATATTAATTAAGTATGACTGATTTTCAAGTTTTGGATACATTGGTACATCTACAATCTAGGTGACTGTGGTTTGGGTTCATAAATGTATGAGTCTCCTGAGCTTTTCAAAACATTGAAACTACAAAGAAAAAGTTCATGTGTCACACATTTGTACAGTTCAAATGGCGCCATCCCCTGGCCAACACTTACCAATAACTTATCAGCAGAAAAAAATAATTAAAACTTTCAGTGCTGTCATTATTGACATATTCTTCAGTAAAGCTGCTACACATAATCACAATCTAAACACAAAAAGTACAGCTCTGTTTTCTCAGCAGACAATCCAGAGCTGTGCCCTCATATTTGAAATAAGGGCAAAGAACCTAGAAGATACAGCCCTGTTACCCAGGGAGAAAAAAAATATAATGGGGGAAGGGATTAGGCTGTTCTTTTTATATGATCAATTCTTCTCTTCTAGACAGTTTGAACACTTATAATTGTGTTACCTGCAGCGTCTTGACAGGGCTGGGCTCAGTGCCTTTGGATTGCAGAGGTGGAAACAGTGATGTCATATTTGTGAGGGTTTGACTTACAGAGTACATGGACTGTTTTCAAAATGACTGGTTATTGCAACTTCACCATGTTATGGCAAAAAGGGAGGTAAAGGGATAAGTTTCATTTTAAAAATTCATTAAAGTTTCCCCTAAATCCATCAAGGTCTCCAGTGACTTTCTGGTTGAAAATTAACCTCTTATCAATTACCAACTGCTACATAATGTTTGTTTAATCAAAGTAAACAACTGTCATGCTACCCTTTTCTGATTATTACTGTACTATAACCTTAAAGTCCTCTTAATAAAAAAAAAAATAATAATAATAATCAAATCTAAGTTTTAACATACAAATTATAATACTATTTGTGTGAACTCATGCCCTACCTCCAGACACACCCCTGCGCTGAAACTTTACAGCCAGGTGTCATTCTTCCACAACTTGCAGATATGACACGTACAGCTTGAGCAGAGAACCTCTATTGCTTTTAAAACATGCTGCAAATAAAGGAACCAGTGAAAACGTGCTACGTTCAGACAAGTTGAGGATTGTTTTCGTAAAATCAATCATGATCGTTTCTTTGAAAAAGTACAGGAGACAAAGGAAGATGGATGAACTTTTAATTACAAATTCATTCAATATAAGCACAGAACAGATGAGAAATATTTTCCAGTACAGACATTAATAAAAGAAATCAGTCACATTCAGATCAGCAGAAAGTTCACACAAGCAATTCAGAACAGTGAGATTTAATTTAGACAGTTACTTTTCATCATTACATGCTTGAAGTTGCATTACTCTTAAAGGTCAGATTTATTTTATCAAGTTTCCCACTTGACTGAAGAATGTCAGAATTCTTATGTACCAATCTAAAAACGTGCAGAAAGACAGTTTTAGGGTAAAGCAATTACAGCCCCCCCCAAAAAAACAAACAAAACAAAACACCACACCATCAAAAATCAAATAAACCCCACACTAAACAGAAACAAACCTGGGTTGTTAAGGATGAAGGTTAAATCCATGTTAGTGGTAGTTTTTGTATATAAAAAAGGCACAAACGACTGTTTTAGTTAACATTACATCTTTTAACTTGCTCATCACCGCATACCCACAATGATAACACTGACCAGTGGTTCAGTCAAACATGAGGAAAGAAGACAAACAAACAGACAAACCCACAACAGATCATTGCTCATACTGGGGGGGGGGGGGGGGGGGGGGGGGGGGGGGGGAGCAAAGCAGCAAACCTGTGGTTCATGACAAATCCAGATGTTTTACCAGCTTAAATTGAGACTCATCATTAAAGCAGATACCAAGTATCATCCTTAATGCAGATTTCTTTCAAACTTGCAATGCTTTTTTAAAATTTCAAGCATCATAGCTTAGTAGTACATACAATGTGAGGAATTACTGGAGGCTGGTTTGGTTAATTAGCTTAATGCAATCAAATCAAAATGAAATGAAATGCTTTTAAGTGCCTGTTAAACTCAGGTGGTCAAAGCAAACAGTTACTACTCAAAGCTTAAAAAAAAAAAAAAAAAAAAAAAAAAAAAAAAAAACTGCGGTATTATCATGGTGACTTTATTGCAACCTGGTTGTGGTGCAGCTCACAATGCACAGTGCTGACAATTTAGAGAAATAAATTGCTTGGAAAAACTGAATCAAAAACCAATTAGCCACAACAGTAAAAGCCAGATTACTTGTATTTTGAGCCTTTCCTGATGGATCTAATATTGTTCCATTTCAGTAGTGGTCAGTTATGACGCAAGTGCATTTGCTCGCTTGAAATTTAAGGCATCACATCTTAGAGGACGCGGCGATGGCAGCGGCTCCTGGACGGCTGTAAACATGCAAGGCAGCGTCCTGTAAAACACAAATTGAAGAAGAGAAACTCAAAAATGAGGTCAGACACTTTAATAGGCAGAATATTACTGTAATTACAATGTACTACTATAAGTACTTTGACACCAAATAAAAATCCATCCACACGTTTCTTCTTATTTAACACCTCAGTTTCATACCATGTCCTCTTACTTTAAGGTCAGACATCCTTTGATTATCTGTATCATCTAATGAAAGTCTTATCGATTGTTAAATGCTCCTTTCTAAAGAAAAAAAGAAAAGAAAAAAGAAAAGACTTTTGGGAAAGTCTCTAAAGATATTTAACTGTGAACCAGTGTGGCTAATGAATGAATGAAATTACAACTTGCACTGGATGTATGCTGTATATAAACACACAACTAGGGCTGAACGATTATGGAAAATAATCTAATTGCGATTTTTTGCCCCAATATTGCGATTGCGATGCGATATGCGATTATTTTTTAAGGTCTTTGTCTTCTGTATTATTAAACAAAGACAAGCAATACATCATATAGTATGGCCAATACTATATTACATTAATTTTAAACTGTTCTTTCCTGGAAGACAGACCTCTGTTATGATAACATGAGGTGATGCATGAATTGATGACTGACATTTTTATTTAACTTCTTCAATCACAACAGTATATTTGAACATACACAATAGTTTATTTTTAGCTTACAAACATCTGAGCATAAAGTGCTGACAAGGAACCCTGGTGTAAACATTAAAATGAAAGTCAGTACAATGTGCAGATTGCAGAAATATACATAAAAAAAATCAGTGGCTTTACCACACTCAGTTTTTCGACATCTGTGAACTACTAGACAGTCATTCAATTAAAAAATAATATTAAATAAATAAAACTAATAAATAAAAAATACACACATCTTACTGATCTCTGCAGTCAGTAACATTACACATAAAGTTCAAACATAATAGCAATTGTATAAACACACACACAAACACGCCTTTAAAATTTAAAGGCGTGAAATTGGACGGTCTAGTTCTGATTAGCGTCACCGCTGTCTCGGTGGAGTTTAATAAACTCGGCCGTCTGCTTCTTGCTATCTAAAATATAACCAGACACTGGTGTAAATTCTCGACTGTCTCATACTTCTGTTTAATAAGTTTTCTGTTTGACGTTTAGTCAGCTGTGTGAAAACCAAGGAGGAACCCACCCGGGGGATTAATAAAGTTTTATTTTATCTAATCTAATAACTTTAATCTCAGCCAAACCGATTTACTCACGAACAAACAAAACACTGAAAAAAGCCCAACAATAACATTTTTAGGTTGTCTAAGTGACTTATATATTACGTTTAACCCGAGCAGCAAAACTCCGCGGTGATCTGAAAATGATGTGCCGGGAGTTGTGCCGTTCTCGGCCGCATCAGTAACCCTCGAGCTCCCGGCTAGCTGTCGAGCTGGTGGGTAGCAGACGCCTCTGAAAACGTCGAAGCACTTTTGCAAATATGGGATATCTTGATAAACCGAGCAGATATTTGATGTTTACACAACTACTTTCTCGCCTGAAAATATGTTAAAAGTTTATTTTGTGACCCAGAAAGATTAGTATGAGTAATTTTAAAACTTAGTAGCGGCCGCCATTGCTGGAAACTGGAGTTTGGCTGGGCCGCGCTATGAATTCTGGGATATGGTAGTAATTTGGACAGCCTTCGGCGCGTCGCTGTGACGTAATCGGTCTACAAATGCGGCCTCAGGAGGATGCAGCCCATGAATTTGGACATGTCCAGAGTATAATCGCAGCCTTTGCGGTTAGAAAATTGCACTTGATCATGTCGCGATATTATCGCAAATGCGATATATCGTTCAGCCCTACACACAACTAGACAAGGCCCGTTTACCTTCTTGGCCTCCGCATTGTACTTCTTGAGAAGAGTCTCAACTCTGTTTCCATAGTCTGGATGGGCAGCCTTCAAATTCTCGACCTGCAAGATACCCAAGAAAAACATTACAGTCCTGGAGGATAGCAGGTTCTTCAACAAACAAAACACACATCTTCTTCGTCTCCCCATGAAAAAAAATAAACAGATTACATACTGTAAATAGATTACATTTACCAATAAGCACAACATCTTTCCTGAAACCTCACATTCCAAAAAGCACAAACTATGAGCGACAGCAAAGTGAGAGACTGTAGTGCTTGGACTCACCATGCGTTTCTGGATGAAGAGCTGGGCTCCTTTCAGGGACCCTGCCATGTTCTGGCAAAGTCTCTGTCGCTCCTCCTCATTCAGGACCTGAGTGTAGAAGGTGCGAACCTGCAAAAAACACACAGGTTTATTCTCCAGAGGAAAAAGGAACTAATCAGAAACAGATTTTGACTCAGTCCTTAACTGGATTTCCAAGTTCTTAAACAACATCTTATAACATACAGCTACCGTTTGTTACTAATAAGAAGTGGCCTTAGCTACAGTTGTGTTCCTTCCAAGATGAGGCCGAAGAAACCAAACGAGTGCAGTAACAGGAAGAAAAAGCCACTAAAACTAAATCTACATATTTCCATTACCCTTTAAAAAATGAGCAACAATTTCATCTTATCATTCGATCCACTGTTCATATTAAATACAGATTTATGCAGCTTTTTAATATTATCAAATCTGAAATTGCCTGGGCCTCAGACACTCTGTGTCACACGCCTACAGATCCTGTTAAATCATCATTACCTGTGTGACATTGTCTTCATCTGAGCTGTTGTAACGAGCAACATCTGCAGACACGCAGAACTTGGACTCCATAAACTGAGGCTGAGTCTCTGGGGCACTGAAGCTGTTAGGGTAGTAGTTTGGAGCGCCACCTGGTGGTCAAACAAAAACACTGGTGAGGCAGTGAAGGAAAGAAAGAAAAAATGAACAAAGACGAGATGTTTGTGGAAAACCATAATCAGTGACTATAGTGATGACATACATTATTCACACATCTACCACTGTACAATGCATGAAATGTAGCGATAAAATGTTTTATCGCTAGTTTTTACATTTTGTGCACAATGTAGATGACTGTGGTTATGCATGTAAGGTCCATGTTATAAAATTATTTCTAATTATTTTATATAATAAGGGTGTTTTTGGATCACTAAGATTTTTTAAAACACCATCACTGATCGTCTGCTTCAAAGGTGATATGCACTTGTGTATATGTCACGTGTATAATAACAGTTAAAAATAACAGTTAAGAACTCAGTATAAATAAACTGTAACACTACCTGGATTAAAATTCCAGGATTACTCAAGATTCATTTCTGAGCCACAGGTACCAGACCTGATCACGTCTCACCTTGGTTGTCATGCATGCACATCGGACCATCACGCTGGTAGTTGGCCACACGAGCCCTGAAGGGGCAGTTGACAGGGATCTGCAGGTAGTTTGCTCCCAGCCGGTGACGATGCGTGTCTGGGTAGGAGAAGAGGCGACCCTAGACAAAGAACATGGAGGACAGAGCTCAATACCAACCTAGCTTTTCTTCATTCCCCCCTAGCTTGTCAAATCTGCCATAATGTCACCTGCAGCATCTTGTCAGGGCTGGGCTCGATGCCTGGTGGCATGTTGCTTGGGTCAAAGGCCGCCTGCTCCACCTCTGCAAAGTAGTTGACTGGGTTCCTGTTCAGAACCAGTTTGCCCACAGGGATCAGTGGGTATTCTTTGTGTGACCAAACCTGCACCGCGAATAAAATTTACAAATCACAAAAGTCATCTGTGATTTTCAAATGAGCACGTCATTATTTAGAGACAACCTGTGATAATATGGACGTTTTTGGAAAACAAGTTACCGAGTCACTGCACATTTATGTCACGTATTACTTTATAACTCAGATGTTGTCTGTTGTGCAGAACTGCAGTACCTTTGTAAGATCAAACGGGTTGAACCGGAACTTCTCAGCCTGCTCAAAGGTCATGACCTGGATGTAAAAGGTCCAGGATGGGTAGTTTCCATTAGCAATAGCATTGAACAGGTCTGCAATTCCATAATCTGGGTTGGTGGCTGCCAGGCGGTCTGCCTCTTCCACCGTCAAATTCTTTATTCCTTGATCCGTCTAAAAAATTTATTTTAAAAAAATGAAGTCAGAGATGGCAGAACACACAACATAACAGCTAATAAAGCTGACCTCAGGCAGACCTTATAGTGGAATTTGCAGTAGACACGTTCACCATCGGCATTGACCAGTTTGAAGGTGTGAGAGCCGTAGCCATTCATGTGACGGTGGCCATCAGGCAAACCTCGATCGCTGAACAAGAAAGACACCTGCACAGGAGACAAGACAAGACCATGAAAACAACTGGAAGAGTTTCTGTGCCAATCACTGTCAATGATGACTACAAGTATAAAGACAGCGAGCAACAGTGCACAGAAAGACTTACTTGAAAATATTCTTTATCCTAAATGTGTATTTTAGAAACACCTCAGCTGACATGACATAATATACTAGACTTTTCAGTATCAGGCTCAGCAGCATCTACCTGATGCAGACTCTCGGGCCTCAAACTCCAGAAGTCCCACACCATGTCAGGGTCTTTCATGTGGGTTTGGGGATTGCGCTTCTGGGAATGGATGAAGGATGGGAACTGCACGAGATTAAAGATGGGACATTAATATAAGACAATGTACACTTGACTGATATTAGCACAGGTGTTGTGAGGAATGTGTCTCTGGTCTTAAATATCTTACATTAGGAATAACAAGCTTGGTTTATTTCATACGCCCTCGGGTTAGATATTTAATGTTAAAAAATAAAAAAAGACACAAAACTGAAAAAGCAGCCACACTTAACTATTTCCATGTTAGAAAAAAAAAATGTACTGCTGTAATACTGCAACTCTCTGACACAAAATTATAAAAACCTGTAACATTACGGTCTGCCCAGACACATGCGTCCCTACACCCACTCACCAGCATGGCATCCCTGATGAAGAAAATTGGGGTATTGTTGCCCGTCAGGTCCCAGTTGCCATCTTCAGTGTAAAACTTGACTGCAAAACCTCGAGGGTCACGCACAGTGTCTGCAGACCCAGACTCTCCAGCTGGGAAAATAAAAAAAGTTCAATTGATATTTTACAGACAAATCATGAATTTGTATCATTATCCACTAACTTAGTCTAAAAGACAATGTCCAGCATACAAATCGACTGAAAGTTCACTGTTAATGTCCTTTCTAATGTCACCCAAGTTGAGATGTTAAGAGCACCACTTGCCAACACAGGGCCAGCCTGCTTATAGGTATCAATCCTTTACCAAATACTCACATTTCCATTTTCAAGGGATGGTTTATGACTCATACAAGCACCAGAATGTCTAATACAGTCACACTTTCATGAAACACTCAATGTTTTAATTGTCCATATTCTCCTATGACAGCATTTCAAAACTGTTTAGCACGCATGCATTTTCTCCCCATATTTTCACGAGCTTGTTATCTGTCTTCAGCAGACATGAACATGCTGTGAGAAGATTAAGGCTTCATATAATTGAGGGGGTAATTTTCTTATATATATTCCTGTCAGTTGAAATATAAAAAATAAACAGGATGTTTTTAAGTCAAGTCCAAGTTCTGAGGCAAATTCCATCCTATGCAAAATTCAAAATAATAAATGCAAATTATTATTATTATTAAAAAAAAAAAAAAAAAATGAAATATGCTAAAGGAAGATGGGAAGAGGCTGAATGGGTTTGTGACGTAGCAGCTGCTCAGTGCAGTCCAGAGGTGCCACTACAGATGTTAAAAGCAATAGACTATGTGCATGTTAGCATATGCTACTTCCGGTGTGGAAACTCCTGTGGGGAGCTTTGTTTCCGGTGTCCTATTCGCACCTTGTTTACGTCCAAAACAAGTTAAGCAAATGAATGAATCAAGTGGCGATTTACATTTCTATAGATGTCTTGGGCATTTAGCCAATATATCGGTAATGGATGTTCATCGACTTGTTGATATTTTTTCCCCCGCGCCTCAGAGCAAAAGAGAAAAGGGATTCAAATTTTATATTTCTCAGTATCTGTAAACAGCGGTCCTTCGTTTATCGCGGTGTTATATTCTAAAAATAACCAGCGACAGGTGAAATCAAGTAGCCAATTTTATTTTTTGACGGTGCAAAACGTTTCGTGGACATACAGTACTGCATTTCAGAGTCACACTGCTAGCAATCGATGCAGCGATTCTGTACTGTACAGGAGAGACGTCACGGAGGAGATCGTCTGCCGCGATCAGGACGCAGGACACAATGTGATGTTTAAAAAAAAAATTTAAAAAAAAGCATGCAAACTTGCACTAAAAAATCTGCGAAACAGCGAGGTGAAAGGTGAACCGCGTTATAGTGAGGGACCGCTGTAATTTTGAAGGTAAGTCACAACATACCCTTCGTAAATACTAATGTATAAAAACTCTTACCAGCAATCATTCATTTTTTGTGTGGCTTTTTTCACGGTTTGTTAACATGCTGTGTAGGTGTGTACTTGAGTAGCTGATATCGACATAACGGGGGAAACATCTGGTTTGACTATTCTTCACCTGTAGTTTGAATGCTGAACATTTGCCTGTTTAAATCATAAGACCAGTCACTATACAGAGATGTGCTTCTGAATGTGGACGATGTGTCTTCTGCAGTAATGCAGTTCTGCTTGTGTTGAGTGATGTAAACAACTGATCATCTAAACGCTTTAAACGTCAAAATTGATCATTAGATTTTTTATGACACAACAGCGGTGAGTGTTCCCACCTTCTGCTCTTTGTAACTTAACGCGATCTTTCCGTTTTCAAGTTTTGGACATGATTTTGGAGTATATCTTTGCAGTAGCGATTGACCGCAAAGTAAAGCTACCGGAAATGTACAACCCCACATCCGGTCTCAAACCAGGAAGTTAGCATTTTCTCGTGCACAGGGTCTATAGTCCAAACAATCACACCAAAACTGTGTCGTCATCAACAACAACAACCACCCCCCAATAAGCAAATCTGTAACCATTAACAAGGCGAACCCATGAAATCCTTTATGGTCGTTCTTACCCACAGTGGAGAAGCGGACAGCAATTGGTGTAGTCTTGCCGACATGCTCAAACACTTTGGCTTTGCAGTAGCGAGTGATGTCATGAGTGACCTCAAAGTAGCCAAACGCCCCTGAATAATGGAGAAAAAATGAAAATAAATACAAATTTTAAAAGACATGTCTGCTAATATAAGCTTCACAAATTTTGAGTTCTTGTATTTACTGCATTTATCATGGGAACAAATCTAAGACTCTTGAAAGTAGGCCAACAAATAACTTGTTCAATGTCTGTCCAAAGTCTGAAGCCCTGATCTGTAAAGCCTGTAAAGATTAACAATTGTTCGGAGTTAATCCACAAATAAGAAGGATCCACATTTCCTTTTATACTTATTTTTTTGGTTGTCTTGTTTAACTTTGTACTTTAATGCAGTCATTTGTAGCCATCTGCCTGCACCAGAATACAATTCTTGACTAAATTTGCACATAAATTTGAACACTTTCCAATGTTAAGGATCAGGCCACTGCTTGATCTCAGACATAAGTGCACCACATGCCTGCTGTTAAGACCTTTTAAACACTGGGAGTCTTTGGTGCCAGGTGCTGAATATGTACCTTAGTAACTCTGCATCTGTGGCATTCTAGTGCATGTTAAATGGCCAGTGTTGAGAATACACTGCACAGTGTACAAAGTGTTGTCACCAACAAATTGAAAAGTTGTCCTATCCATTAAACTTTATCATTTTGAATAATGCATTGTCGATGTCTAGATCTCAAGCTATGATTTACCTACTACTTCAGGCATTAGAACTAAGAAATGATTCATGTCTGAAGACTTTATAAATATAGAGCTAATCCCACAGTGAGTCATTTTAGCATTGTATTTGTGGATGTAGGTGGAAACAACCAAAAGGCACAAGACTAATAATATTGTGTAACAAAAAGCATGGCAGCAGTCATAACTGCTACAAAAACAATGATGTCAGAAATTACACAAACATTTTTGAATGATGTTGACCATAGATAATGAATAAATTAATTGAAGCCTTTAATTTTTTACTGCCAGCAGGAAGACTTAAAAGAGTGTTACTTACCAAAACTGTGTGCGAGAACCATTGAGGGGCTCGAAATGAAATAAATATAGTGGGACACTACTTCTGGCCATACTGCTTAGCCCTAAGTGTTGGCATAAAATGTCTAGCCATCCTATTGACCTGAATGGCAACAATTTTTACGTTTGGCTTTCTTTACTTAATTACAAATATTCCTTTAAGAACGCAAAGCGTTTTTGTTAGCCTGTTAGTCAGCGAATATAAATAACAATTTTTTTAACCTTTTCTTACACACGATCAGCAGTAGTTTGTGTGCACTTTTGCACTGCTATAACAAAGGGACAGCAAATCGGATAAAAAAAAAAAAAAATAAAAAAAAAGAGCATCATGACTACAGCACAATGCCTTACCTGCCCCTTTGGCATGGACCACTCTCTCTGGGATTCGCTCACGGTCAAAGTGGGCCATCTCATCTGTGAAGACTACATCTTGAACCAGCAGCGGCCCTCTTGGTCCTGCAGTCTGCAAGTTCAATTTGTCTCCCACTGGATGGCCACCGCCTGTGGTCAGCACATCTGGTTTCTGATAACAGATGGATAATAATAAAAAAAAAACAAAAAACAACGACAACAAAAAAAAAAAAAAAACCCACAAAAACAGAAAGCATTAAATATATCTTGATGTAAGACTATAACAAAGACTAATGCAATACAGCTGGTCTTTCTTTAATGCAATTTTAACCTTATGGTTATAATGAAGAAACAAAATCAGTGCAAAATACTAAGTGGCTTAACATATTAATCAATGAAATCATCTTCAGTGTTTGACATTACTCCTGCATGAGCCTTAAACTGTTATAATAACTCATTGTCTAAATGAACGCCCTTAAAACTGCCACTTTTGAAAGAAAGTATCTATGAAACTAACAAAGATATTGACAAAGTTGCACAAGCAGTTAAAAAAGGCAGACTGCGTTAAGCATAAAAAAGTGACACGTGTATACAATGGTGCAGTTTCGCAGGTGTACTATCATAACAATAACGCTGAAACTTGAAGCTGCTATGACGGCATGCTTTTTGTCTTTACGTGACTCTCAAACATGCTCAAAACAGCACGAATAAAAACAATTCTGCGACATGAACTTGGTTACTTTACAACGGCAATTTACTCTAATATGCCCTAGTTATATATAGATAGGAGGGTTGAAGTTCAAACAAATAACCCTGGACCCACTTCTTATCTTCATGGTTAAAGTCTCTTTCACGGCTGTGAAAAAGTATAAAGGACTAAATACGACTGTATGAGAAATACTTAAGACTAAAACTACACTAAAAACATTAATGTAGAGACTACAGGACATGAGCTACAAGCTAGCTCTTAGTTAGCCTGTTACCCCTGGACGACCTTTCACCCATTTCCAACTGTGGTAGCCACCGCGGAGTAAAATCACTTGATATAACCCAATGCATATACAGACCTGAGAACCTCGATTCGCCTTCCATGTCTTCATTTGGTCAGTAGCTTTATCTCTGTCGTCAGCCATCTTCACAATTTGGTGCTTAGACCACACACTGTGCAGAATATGTTGCGCACAAAACACTGCTATCGTTTTATACCTACGCCAGAATTTCTTCCTGGACAGTGCCCGACGTTGCTCCGCCCCCCTGCGCCTGCTCCTGACCCACTTACGAGACTGAAGAGAGAGCACCAAACCAAAAACAGGCTGCTGATCGTACATAAATCTTTATGCAATGTTTAAGTGTGAAAAACCTTTATCTTTCTAACCTACTCACTAAATATTCACTTTTAAACTGAAAATGCCGTCCTTTATTTGTAAGACAAAAACAAAATAGCATGCATAAAATAGATACCTTATCTGAGGACACGCCTTAATGTTTACCGTTAACGCAAGCAAATCACCGAACAGCATATTTCCTTATTATTATTATTATTATTATTATTATTATTATTATTATTATTATTATTATTATTATTATTATTATTATTATTATATTGCAGCATAACTAAATTGTAAAAGAGTAGAAGAAAAAGGTGGAAAATGGCAAAAAAAAAAGAAAAAAAAGAAAACCCAATTTCTGATCTTTGAATTAATGTCAAAATTATTGAAATGTTCACTTGCACTGTACTGTTTATTGTACTTTCATTGTAGTTTACATGTTAGTACTTTTGCTTTTAGCATCTCACAACCTCAGTTAAGAAATTATTGCAATGATTTACAAATCTTAAACACATATTTTAGTCACACATAGAATAATATATATTTGCCATTTTAAGAAATATACGTAACAGATCTGAAACAAACAAGCAAAGCTAGAGCAGGGCCATGTTCCATGCTGTAGCTTCCCCTTTTTTTTAACGACAGTCCATAACAGGGTTTTGCAGAGATGTTTGAAGGGGCGGGTGCTAAAAGTTAGAAAGGGGCACATAGAACCAGACAGAATAACAACAACCCACGTTCATCAAGAATCCAATGTGGAATCGAGTCATACTGTATCACTGTCATCAGGTGGGGACAATGCAAAACGTAGCCTATGTTTACCTGATAGGGTACAATGCTGTGAATGAATTGCTGCTGCTCCAGCTGCTGATAGAGCTGGGGAGCAGGGTTATGTTGATCTGAGGCTGTAGACATTAAAAAGTCCATAGGAGAGATGGTAGCTGATTAAACAAGTGTTATGAGATAATCATAAAATGTAAAGATTGATGACAGTGCTCGGAACCATAAGGCAACATTGAAAAAAAATGTGGAAAATAAAGTGACACTGAAATATTAGTAAGTCAAAAGACAGGGGTTGTTCTGGTCGGGTAAGAATGCAACAATACAAAAAATGTAACAGAATAATTTGGCTATAATTTGCTAGAATATGTTTTTGTTATATTTGAAATATAAATCTAATACGATCTGTTTTTAAATGTATTTTCTTTAAAACAAAGTGTCTTTTTTGAATATCGTAATCCATAATTATGTGGATATGCATATAGATAGTTTTTAGTGAAATATAAGCCCCTATAAAGGCAGGGAAAAGCCCTGTTACTCACTTTAAAACAAAATTTGTTCCCTAAAATGGTGGACAATGCTACAGACACATGACCTCTTTACCCAGTTATCTAGTGGCTAATTACCACCACCACTTGTGCAATTAATGAAAGGACAGGTCATGTTTTGTTGTGCAAAACAGGACAGAAAGACAGGGCAGGAGAGGAAGAAGAGAGGTTAGAGTTAAAGGTAAGGACTGCTCATTAAAACTTACATGTGAGTCCTGATGTTTTTAAGTTAGATATTTGGTTTGTACATGTGACATTATGTTTTTTCATATTGTGAAATCTGCTGCAAATCAAACTGAGGTAGACTAACTATGCTATTTAAAGGCTGCATGAAAATCCTCTGCAGTTTTCTGATGGATAAACAGGTTACAATGCTGTACTGTGAGGGATTTAATATCACTGTACTGGGTCTGCGACTCAGTATTGCTCTTTCTGACTCTGTAATTATATTATTTGATTATTGTCATTCATAGTTTAAGTTTTCTTTAGTTCTTAGTGACTGTAGTCACTTCCCCCTTTGTAGTTCTCTTAGCATGTGTGTAAGTCTCCCTGTGTTACTGCTTTCAGTGTTAGCTGTTCCACCTTTCTAGTTTCTCTGTGTTGTAGTTCTCATTTCCAGTGTTTGTTTCTAGTTCTCATGTTCTGGGTCTAGTTTGGGTTTTAATTATTTATTTATTTATTTATTTATTTATTTATTTAGGACAGTGCATGTTAATGAACATAAATGTAAAAAAAAAATTACATGAATGTAAACATACCAGATTATAGCCAAGGGCTAATTTCCATCTGTTGTCCTTAAGCATAAAAATAGACATAATAATTCATAAAAATTATTATGTCTGTAATGAGTTTAGGGATGGGTATCGAAAACCGGTTCTTGTTGAGAACCGGTTCCCACTGTTTCAATTCCTTGGAATTGTTTGCCACTTTTAAAAATGATTCCCTTATCGATTCCAGTCGCCCCGAATGACGTCATCACGTTGAGTAGCGTCTTTTACCCAGTAGGAAACACGGCGCCTGAGCGGCACAAATGCTCAAAAGTTTGGTTACACTTTATGAGAAAGGATGACAACAGGGCAACGTGCAATACTTGCAAAGTAGAGATTTCATCAAAGGGAGGAAACACTACGAATATGCAAAAGCATTTGCTCAAAAAACACGCGATTGCTTTCAACGAATGTCGTGTTTTTGATCCGCTCCGGACTAGCGAAGCTCAACCCAGCAGCAGCGGTAGCGTTTCCACGTCCTCTCCCGTTAATACCGCAGGTAACTAATCAATTAGCATTGCATATTATGTTAGCGCGATTTACCTTATTACAAAACCTGCTATTACTGTGAGTTGCATTTAGATAACCATGATGAGAGAGACAGACAGAGTCTGGCTGGCTCAGATGCTGGCAGTTCTCACTGCAGTCTACCGGTAGCGTCTCCTTTCAGGCCAGAATAGACGAATGTCACCCAGCAGTGTCTAAGTTTGTGGTCAAAGGCTTGCACCCATTTGCCACAGCAGATGCCCCCGATTTCACTTTGGTAAGTGAATGTGTTTAATTGTAGGTGTAGCTGAGATATAATGTACGAATTGTGAATATTCTCAAAACTGTATTGTACATAGGTTATACTTTTTTATTGTGTGAACTTTATTTTTGTGGAACTAAGGTTCCGTGTGTTATTGTTGAAGTGGGACATTAATCAGTGTAACGCCACCTGCGGCCACATTGCGGGTGTGGGGTTTCCTAGCCAGAGCTGTACGGACTCCACACTGGGTGAGGAGAAGCCTGCTGCCACTGTGTGACACTGATTTTGCTGCTGCACTCTGTTTTATAGGAATAAACCCTGTTTCCAGCCAGTCCGTGTCTGTTGTCACAACGCAGTCGACCATTTCACATCTGCTACATAAAAGTGGTGCCGTGACCCGGATGCATCTGATCAGCCGCTGCCGATCGCTGAGGTTGAGCTGAACACTTCCGACACCTGTAATATAAGTAAAATTATTCTGTGGGTCAGCAAAAAAATTTCCAGTGTTCTGTTAGTAGGCATTTCTCCCAGTTACACCTGTTAGAGTCTAACTGAGCCGTGTTTATTTGTGTTGTATTTTTCTGAGTGATAGGTATTTTTGTATTCCTTTTGTTTCTGATCCCCTTTGTAGTTATTGCTAACCTCTTGTAAGCAACATGGCTGGTAGGGCCAAGACTCCTTTAACCTTTTCACGCCAGTCGCTGGGAGAGGTTGGAGACTGTCTGGGGCAGATGAAATGAGAGACAGGTCTATAATGTCGCGTGATGAGCCAGCAAAGTCAGATGACATTATTCGAAATAAAGCTCATGAGCGCCAGTCCTCAACCCCTGCTTTGAGCGACGACAGCACACACAAAGAGCTACGTGAGCTCATTGGTGAATTGGGAACCCAGATAGGTGAATCAATCGCTAGCCGGCTACTATCCAGTCAAGTCCCACTTGGTCCAAACCAGACAGCCCCAGCCGAGTCCCCCAAAGTTAAGAGCCCTGACACCACTCTCGACCTCTCCAAAGTGAACTTAGTGGTCCGACAAGATATCAAAGACCCACCTATGTACAGAGGTGATGATGCGGATAAGTACTCTGTTCATGAGTGGATAGACATGATGGAAGTGTACTTAGAGAAGAGAGGGTTGTCTAGAGCCGTGCAGGTGGATGAAGTCTTAAACCACCTCCGTGGCAGAGCTAAAAACATTGTTAAGGTGGGTTTGAAAAGTAACTCATGTTCTGGTGTAGTGACCAACCCTGAGACCATCTATGCCATACTCAGGCGTTATTTTAGTGATAGTCCTGGCTCCTGTCAACCACTGGCTGACTTCTATGCCACCCAAGCAGTTGCAAAAGAGACCCCAGTAGACTATTGGGTGAGGCTTAATATCGCTGCTGAGGCAGCTGACAAGCATTTACAGCGTCAGGGAGGCAAAATGGAGAACATGGAGGCAGATATAGCCATGATGTTTATCAGAAATTGTCCTGATCCCAGCCTCGCCTGTGTTTTCAAATGTAAGGCCATCAGTAAATGGACAGTAATGGAGGTTCAGGAAGCCATTGATGAACACCAAAGAGAGTGTCATGCAAAAAAGAAGAGCCTGGGCTCTGCCAGACCCCATCCCCTCCTCGTGGCCACTGCGACAACCACAAGCGAGTCGCCTGAGTTTGAACTGAACCATGCCCAAGTAGGTACAGTAAAATGTTCCCAGGACAGCCCGGGTAAGGCTGCTGGAGCTGCCGCTTCAGACCCAAGTGCTCTAGACCGCGTGCTCAGTATGCTGGAGAGGGTGTTAGAGCGCTCCAACCAGCCTGTCCACCCCGTAATTAGACCACAGCCTCTAGCCTCAGCCAGGTTCCCTTCGTGCCAGGTTTGTGGCAATAGCTCACATTCCACGCGCACTCACTGCATGAGAGAGAGGAGATGTCTAGGTTGCCTGGAGGTTGGGCATCAGAGGAAAGACTGCCCCAGAGCAGCTGAGCCCATTACCCAGCAAAATAATC